ATGAGACAATGCCCAGTATACAGCAAGTAATCAATAAGTGGTAGCTTTTCTAAATTATTATCATCATCAAGGTTTTGCTGTACTAAAGCTTACATTGTCATAAAGGGAAAGGGAACAGCTTCCCTGGGAAATAAGAAGTCTAAGGAACAAAGACCCAAGCAGATTTTTAGGATGGTGCGCTCAGATCCTGGTGGGTTCCAGCAGATTAACATCAGGAAGGTTATTGCAAAGACCTTACTTGTAGTGGGGAAATACCGGTGTTAACAAGCTGATCTTTGGAGCAGGGACCAGTGTGAGTGTCCAGCCAAGTAAGTAGAGTGGGGCAAAGGTGAACATTGACAAGTAATTCTTCTTTGTCCAAGATGCTGAGCTGAGCCTGGGCATTTTTTTTCTGTAGGATCCCAAATGGTTTTTTCCACTCATCCTTCAATTATCCTCCCATCTAGTACTCAGTGCTCCAGAAAGCTCCTTAAGCTGGGGCCTTAGGAATCGTGAGGCAGGTGATGAGCCAGTAGTCCTGGACCTTCCGAGAGAATCTGAGAGACCACTGCCCTGAGCAGGGCTTTCTGCTTTACTAAATTCTCGGTTTGTGGAAGTCACAACCTCCAACCCAGGGCACTACAGCAAGATGGGGCAGGAGGAAAAGGACTGAACACACCAGAGACAAAATCTCAGCACAGAAGAGGTCTAACTCTGCAAAGTGTGATTCTCCCGTCCTTGTGGGAAATCAGTGCTTCTCCTATTGAAGTAGGTGTTAGGGCTGGTACGTTTCTGTAATGGCGTCACCTGTGGTGTGAATACTGGAGGAATGGCTGGCAAACTCATATTTGGGAAAGGAACCCAAGTGTCCATAACATCTGGTGAGTCATCCCTGGTGGCACCACGTGCAACCCCATGGGCCAGTGCCACTAATCCTTCCCCTTGGGACGTGGGTGATGACCATGGTGAGGCCAACTGTGGGTGTTATAACTAACTGTCTTACAGAGGCCTCTGTGAAGGGAGAGGGCATCATTATCAATCTTTAAAATCTGTGTGTCTCTAGGTTGAACACACTAAAATTTAACTCTAATCATCCAATGGATATTTTTTTATGCCTTCCATGTGGCCATCACTCTATAAAATGTTAGATTGGGTGTGAAGAAGTCTAAGATAGATTCTTGACCTGTCCCCAAATGGTATAAAAACTTGTGAAAGGGACAGAACTATTGTAAACTCAGCAATGTAAAGACTATTTTAGCAATTGATGATGTCAGTAGGCACATTGGAGATTCAGAGGAATAGGGTCCTGGCTGAAAAGTTGGCCTAGAGAAGGTTTTATGCAGTAGAAAAGGTTCATTGAGCCTGAAAGATAAGATCCGTATGAACAAAGGAGGGGGAGAAATGGGGTTCCAGGCATAAAGAACAACAAGAAAGAAAGCATGCTCTTGAGAATAAACAAGGCATATGTATTTTGGCATAACTAAAGACATCTGATAATAATTTTGGATGGTGAGAAAGGCAAAGATGTCTTCTTAAACAAAAAAGAAAGGGAACACTAGAGCCTTCAAGAGAATACAAACAGTCACGGCTAAGGCCAGCCAGTGGGAAACTGGGAATCCAATTTAGAAACGCAGACCAGATGTGAAGGTGAGGGGCCAGCTCTTTCCATGAACAGCTCATGGCCTGCGGGCCTCCCCTGTCCGTCCTCAGTGGGCTAGAAGAGGAGTTACCCCGCTCCTCAGAGGAGAAACCTAAGGGTTTCTGTAATGGAGATATTGGGAGTGGTATAGCGGTACTGCCTCCCAGTTGCAATTTGGCAAAGGCACCAGAGTTTCTGTAATTCCCGGTAAGTCTTCCCAGGAAGTGTTACTGCTTCCTCATGCTCACCAGAGCCTCAGCAGGACTCAGAGTTCGTTTTTCCAACTCACTTTCCGGGTTCCTCGTGTCTAGCTGCGAAGCACAGATTTGTGGTAAGGGCGCTTTCCATCACTGCTGTGCCCCCAGGGACCAAAGCACTAGAGCACTGGCCCATGTGCTCTTCTGGTTACTTCTGAATTAAAATGAAAGGTTAGGATCTAGAACAGCTGAACTTCCACATTGAAAGGTTGATTCAGTCTTGCTAAAGCTACCTTTGGAGATATCACCAGTGGCAGGACATGTTTATCTTGCTAGGGTGGAACGGGACACTTCTCCTCCCAGGGCAAGTAGACCCGCTAAAGCCCTCCAAATTGAAAGTGACTTCTGTCTTGTTTTCAGACAAAAATATTAAGGTTGCATCAGAGGTATGCGGGAGTAAAAGTAAAATGAGGCTTTAAAAAATCAAGTTCAAGGATGAGTACCCAGCTTCTTTGGCCAAAAAGTCTAACAAGCAGATATTTTGCAAACCTGGTGGCCACTAGCCCATGTATTTATGCAACAGTTCTTTCTTGAGCACCTAGTAGCAGGTACTAGGGATGCAACAGTAAACCAGAGACGGGCCTTTGCTGTCGCAGAGCTGACCTCCCAGAGAGCCAATCTGAAGAGCTTGGCGCAGCTGTACTCTTACAGGGCATAGAAAGGACTTGGGAGAGGAAATTCACGGTTTGGAAGATCATGGCAGACATTGATGTCACGCCAAGAAGTTTGGCCATTATTCGACAGACAAGAGGGAGTACCTGAATTATTTAGAGCAGAAAGAGACCCAATCAGTTCCATGTTTTAGGCAAGTACTTAGGAGGATGAATGAGCTCAAAAAGATTGAGGAGGGGGGCAGGGAGAGATGATGCACAAGAGAAGAAATCAGAGCTAGGGAAGCCGGACAGGAGAAACAACAGCAGACCTGCAGACAGGGAAGCTAAAAGGGTACTGGTAAAAACAGGGTGTGAAGAAAGCTAAAAAATCACCTCAGTTCTTCTGATTTCATTTATTGCTATTTTATTTTGCTCTCTCATTAGCAAACCTGAGCAATTGGTCTGCCCCTAGTAGTCACCCTCACAAACTGAAAGATGGCGTGTGAGTCTCGCACTCAGCCCCCACTGTCTTTCCTCAAAGCCTCATGTTCCGGGCGCTGCTCTCTCCAGACCAGTGCGGTCCAACAGAACGTTCTGTGACGGTGGAAATGCCCTCTCGGTCTGCACCACCCAGCACGGCAGCCACCAGCTGCGTGGTGATTGACCTCTGAAAATGAAGTTCTGATTTTTCATTGAAGTTTTAAGCTTATTTAATTTTGGTTCACTTTAATTTAAATAGTCACATGTCGTTAAAAAATACCATATTGAATAGTGTGGTCTTGACCTTGTCCAGCCTGATAACCCCCTGGCTCTGTGACTCAAGTGAACGTTTAACCAGAACTGAAAGTTGGGCATCTGGCCCCCACAGCCATCCCCACTCCCCCCCTAAGGCCAAACTGCATCAGATGGCACCTTGTCCTCTGCTTTCCTTGTGAGACCACATTCTCTCAGCATCTCCACACCCTTCATGACCCCCCCCCCAGGCTCGCCCACGACTCCCACTGATGACTACAGAATCCATGGGGGTGTGTTAGTAGTGTTATGGCTTCCCGTCTCTCCCTCGCAGACAAAGATGCATGTCGTAGGGCCTTAACTCACAGCGATGCCAGGCCCCACAGTATGTGGAGATCAGAGGGGAGCAGGCAGAATCCTTCAGGGCCCAGGCTTTAAATGACCCTTACATGTGACCATGGACCCAGCCCTGCTCTGCGGCTCCAGGGCTTGCCCCACCCGCAGGCAGTTCTGCCTTGACTCAGCATCCCAAGTCCATGCCAAGGGCTGATTTCCCAAGTTTTGCATCCAGCTGGATGGCTGCGTTGTCAAGGCCACCCTCGCTGGCTCAGCAAGTGGGGTGCATCACTAGGCTGAGAAGCCTCGCGTGCATGGCGAGGAGCCGTGGGAGCAGAGAACCACAGGGCCAGGAAGCTGTAGTCCCAGCCCTGCTCTGCACTCTCTGGGTGGCCCCGAAGTGTTCATCCTCCCTGAAAACCTCTGCTGCTTCCTCTAGAGGCAGGAGGTCTGAAAGAACAAACAATGAGAGTTACATCAAAACACTAAACCCTACAGAAATGCTGAAAAATGATTCTCAGAGCCGAGGAAAAGCCTTCAGCAACGCCTGCGTCCTGGGGGTGAAGAGTAGAAACTATTTGGTAGCACATTACGGTAGCAATACCCTGGTGGCATCAGTAGCTCCAACTACTTACATCTGTTCAGTACCTTACCGTTTATTAAATATAATTTTATGTGAAGAAACTCTCATTTGTTTCTCAGAAAAGCCTGGCTAGGAAGGTGGACGAGGCAACAATTCATTTTGCAGATGAAATTCCTGAGATTCAGGGGGCAGTGTGACTTGCTCGAGGCCTCATAGTGAGTGAATGGGGAGCCCGAGTTCGGACAGAGCTGTTCTGATTTATAGTCCCAAACTTCTGTGGATGTGAGAAACCTCCTGGTAGTGTGACCCATCTTCTGACTTAATTCCAGCCTCATAGGCTTCTAGGTCCTGCCAGTGCCCAGTGTAGGTGTGGGAGGCCAAGCCAGATGCCAAGAAGTATCGTTTGCTTTGCTGGGCCTTTTCTCTGTGCTTGTTTGTCCTGCCAGAGCTGTGTTCTCCACCAGGCCTGCTGAGCGTGTAAAGAAGTTCCTGAGGAGAGGAATGAGCCGTATCATGAAGTGGGCCTTCATTCCCAGTCTCCTGGCAGGGCCTGGCAGAGAGCGTTCCCTGGGAGCCTGGGCTCGGCCAGGACTCATGGCTTGTGCCTGTCCCTGGTCTGTTGCAAGCAGCTGGTTTCTAATACGTTCTTTCCCATCTAAAGTCTGAGAATGTTACATCTGTAACCAAAAAAAATCAATAAAATAGTAAAAATAATAATTTAATCAAATTTAAAAAGAAAAAATAATAATGAAGTCTGAGAATGTGACTTGCCAGGCCCACAGAGCCGTTGCGCTTGCCCATCACCAACATCTGGACTCGGGCCTGGGTTGGGGCAAGGAGGGAAATGAGCATCTCCTAACCCAGCTCCTTTTGGCCCACAGTTATCAGTGACCCTGACCCCTCCGTGTACCAGATGAGAAGCCCTGAATCCAACAACGTGTCCGTCTGCCTGTTTACTGATTTTGATTCTGAAACCATTGTGCCACAAGACGAGGAGTCCACGGTGCACGGCACTAACAGCACATCGCTGCACATGAAGTCCATGGGCTCCAAGAGCAACGGGGCCCTGCGCTGGAGCACCAGCCCTGATTTCAGGTGTGCAGACACCTTCAAAGAGAACTTCTACTCCAGCTCAGGTGAGTGCAGACTTGGTGCCTGTGCAAGCTGAGTCTCTTCACTGCAAGAGGCCTGCTTTGGCTGGGGCTCCCTCAGGCCAGTGGATCCAAATGCTGCTGGGATTGGTGGCCTCAGCCTCACCAATTGTCACTGAGCACCAGTGAGCCCCATCCTGGCAGGCCACAGAATGTCCTGGGCAAAAAGAAATAGGGAGAAGGTGGCAAGAGACGGCACTGGCCCTCAGTCTCACCCACCCTGAGTTCCCACCTCCCTGCCTCTGCTGGAGTTGTTTGCCCCTTACTGCTCTTCCAGGCCCCATTCTAATGCCCTTCTCCAAGGTCCCTCCCCTTGTTTCTTTCTCTCTTCCAGTCAGTCAGTCATTCAGTCAGTCAACAACCACTGATTGTGCCTATATAGCTGCCAGCCACTGGAGTGGAGTAGTGAACAAGTCAGATGAGGGGTCTGCCCTAAGGAAGCTTCATTCTAGTTGGGGGAGACCATCCATCAGCAAGAAGAACTCTAGATACCTTCAGATCCTAGTATATGCTTTAACTTGGAGTTGAAGACACAGCCACCTTAGGGACAAAAGTTAGAAGTGGGCTCTCTGGGGAAGTTTATTTGAGCTAAGAGATGAAGGATAAGAAGGCACCAGCTGTGCCAAGGGCCTGAGGCCGGCGCTCACTGAGAAAGAAGAGGAGCGATAGGAATGAGAGGGGAGAAGGAAGCGAGGGCCAGATCATAAGGCTTCTCTGGTCATGAGAGGGCAGCTGCTATTCTAATTACCATGAGAAGCTATCATCTGGCTTTGATTTGCTTTCTTAAAAGAGCACTCTGACTACTGAATGGGGATTGGATTGCAGGCACGAGAGCGGGAGAGAAAGGAGGTGAATGATGCAGAGAGAAGGTGGAGGCCGGGATGGGGTGGTGACAGTGGAACTGAGTGGCCAGCACTAGTGGGTTTCAAAGGCAGAACCATGCTGGGATGAGGAGGAAATGAGGGATCAAGGAAGGTGGCTGGATCTTATGCCTGAGCAGCTGAATCAATGATACTGAGAAAACAAAGGAACGGATTCAGGGTGCAGGGATGGAAACTTGGTAGACCACACGAAATCATCGAGACTCCTTATGGCACTTGTCACTGTGTATGTCCTACTGCCTCTATTGGACTCCAGCCTGGACACTGCCCAAGGGCAGGGTCTGTGTCTCGCAGTCCCTGAGGCCTGTGCCTTGTAACATGAACTCAGCACAACCAGTACTTGTTAAGTGAATGAAATGGTGCCCAGAAGCCAGGGTGCTGTCCCGCCAGGGCCAGCGGCTGTCCCCAGCAAACGGCCACATGTGACAAGCTCCCTCCGATCGCTCCACAAGGAAATGTGGAGAAGCTGTAGACACTCACTTGCCCAGCTCCTCAGAGGGTCTGGAATGGGGGGGTGGTCAGCATACTCAGGCCTCTTAAGAAAATTTCTTTTTTCTCCCTTTAGATTTCCCCTGTGATGCCACATTGGTAGAGAAAAGCTTTGAAACAGGTGAGAGAAGGGTTGATCCCGGCTTTGCACGGTTTGGGGGAGCATGAACCCACAGTAACCTTGCTTGGGGAGAGGAGGTGGGAAGGCGTTACAGGTCTGGGGGTGAAGTGAGGAGGAGCAGGAATAGTAATAGCAGTGTGAGCCCTACAGAGCTGCCAGGTCATCCCCAAATCCCCAGGTTCCTCTCATCATCTCTCACTTCCTTTTCCATTCTGAGTCCTTTGAGGATGAGTCTCTAGTTTCACTCAACCAATGACTCACTTCTAGTTTCTGTATTCCTTTCAACCACTCCACTGTCAGAACCAACAAGAGCTCTGGGTGGCCCAGCTGTGAAATTTCTGATGAGCTTCTAGCCCTAAACTAAACAGGTCACCCTGAGGTCAGCTGCCCTCCATGGCCAAGGAGTTTTGCCTTCTTTCAAGAAGGGCAGCAGGTGGTGATCTCTCTCAAGGACCTCCACCACTCCTCACCACCTCCCCTGCGCCCACATTCATCTCCACTCTAGCTGTCCGTATGAGTCGTCCCTCTTGTGGCTCAGCCACTGAATTCTCACTAAGAGGCCCAGACCCAAGGAATTGCAGTAAGTCCTGAGCACCCACCTCATCCCCATCCCCTGAGGGGCTCAGAAATAAAATAAGGACCAAGTGCAGTTGCTGTTTTCCTTTCAAAATGAAATACTGTTGATCCCGGGGTAGGACACATATGTTTACGAGGAGATGTGCACAGAAGCCCAAAGGGAGAGGCAGACCCAGGTGCCTGGGCCACCCACCCTGCTTCCAGGAGAGCCACTGGGATGGCACAGGTGCTGTGCAGCCTCAGGTGTGCACGCTCTGAACCGCTGTGGCCTCTTGGTTTTGCAGATATGAACCTGAACCTGCAGAACCTGTCAGTGATTGGGTTCCGCATCCTACTCCTCAAAGTGGCCGGCTTCAACCTGCTCATGACGCTGCGGCTGTGGTCCAGCTGAGGTGAGCGGGCATCTCAGTCCGTAGGTGGGGTATGAGGGGCTTGGGGTGGGTCCCCAAGCTCTGAGAGCAAACCTGCACCCAGGGTCTCCTTTTAGGGGCTAAGTCTGGGCCCGCCAAACTCCATGTTTTTCTGTGAGGAGTTCCTCTTGTTGGCAAGGGCCTGAAGCATTTGTAGAACCCAGAACTTCTTGGGCGACAACAGCCCCTCAGTGAGTCATGTCTCCCTACAAGTATGGACAGGTGTTATTATCCTCATTTTGGAAATGAAGAAACTGAGGGCAAGTAACATCAAGAGCCACACACTAATGAGTGAATAAAACAGAGACACTCAGGACCCCAACATGCACTTATACCTTCTACTTTCACGGCAAAACCGAATAGGGCTCCCAGTTCCTGTGCCTCCAATATAATGAGAAGGTATTAATATACCCTAATCCTGGCGGAGTGTCAACACCTTTCCTCCAGTGTCCCTGGTCATCCTGCTGACCAGCGCATCTGCCCCACCACCAGCAAAAAGAACCCCCGGGGCTCACTTGCTCCTAGAACTCTACAAATGGAGGCATCTCCATCGCATCCCTAACTGCCCTGGGTCTACCTCCTCGGTATCCAGCCTGACTTCTGTTCTTCCTCATCCCAGGTCAGCAAGACAGTGAGAGCCCAGTGCTCCGCGCTCCTCACCGCCCACCTCTCCCTCAAGCCCAGAGACTAAGTCTCAGCCTCCAGGGAGGAGAAGTCTCCCTCGCCTCTCCAGCCCGGGCAATGCCTCCAACTGGATCCTACCAGATATCTGTGATCAAGATGCCGAAGACCTGGCAAACGCTGCTGCCCCTCCCTCTGTGCCCTCATTGTTGCTTGTCGCTGCCCAGCATCCCTGGCAACGCAGGGGCTGCTGCAGCCTCTCCTGGCTACAGATTCTCCTCCCCCTCCCAGAGACCGCCTCCGATGTCCCCGGGTGAGGGCTCACCGGGGGTTCTCTCGGGTTCTAGCTCCTGGAGAATGTTGTGAGGAGCTTATTTTTTTAAATAGTGTTCATAAAGAAATACATATCGCCCTTTCCGCAAGATGTGGGGGAAGCTGTCTCATTATCTAGGCCCTGCTGTGCTGTGTATCTGAGCCACGTTGTATATTCTGCTGCCCTGGCTTCATTAAAAGAGATTGGGAAGAGCAGAGACTGTCTCCTGTTTGGCCGGGTTTCGTCGGGGTCATTTTAGCTTGCTGTCGATCACCACCTGGGCAGAAAGAACCCAACACATTTGGCCACGATGACATTCAGGGAGCCTAACTCAACAAGTTGCTTAAGTCAACCTCTAAAAAATTCCACTTGGAAGGCTGTGCTGGGGGCTGGGCAAACCCACTTAAAAGCCTGGGTCCTTGCTCTTCCGTTTTCATGCCACACCGCTGGGCCACTGGTGGCAGCAGGCCCATGTACATGGGTGGCAGTGACCTGTAGCTGAAATTTGGCAGACAGGGACCACACAGCAAGTATCCCCCAAATGCCACCCACTGTCTCCTGCCCCCCAGGAACATTTCCTTTGCCTTTCAGAGTGGTTTCCCACAGAAACTGTACATTGCCACACAAATCCATGGTTGGGACCACCCGCTGCTCCACTGCCTGGGTCCAATCCAGTGCCCAGCCCCTTGGGGTGCCCAGTCAAGGAGAGGGGTGCAGATTGTGACCTTAGCTAGACCACACTCCCACCATCCTGGATGTGAGGATAAGGAAAGGGGAGATGAGCTCTTTCCCCTCAAGTCCGGGCACCAGGCCAAGGAGAGTAGATGTCTCAAGGTCCCTGAGGACAGGGGGTGGGATTCCCTGCACCCCGGGAAACGGCTGAGCCTCCTGCTGCCTGAGCACGTTTCCTCGTGTCATAGACACTAATGGGAACGCCCCTCAGAGATCACTCAATCATTCACCTCACTACTGCTCTCAAGACTAAAGCCTAGTGGTTAGAGGCCATCCTATCCCCAACTACCTCTATGGTTCACCCACATGTCTGACCACATCAGCCAGAAACATGTGAGTCTTTCCAGCTACAGTTCAGGCCTGCTTCTGATCACAGGGAACAGAGCCCCAGCTCAGCAGGCAACCTCGGCACATCTCTCTCCTCCAAAGCTCGGGGGCCACCGCCTATACAATGTCAGTGGAGACCAGGGGCTGCCTCCAGCTCCGTGCATCTCCAAATCGGTCACATCTGTGGAACCGAGAACCACCGGCCCTGCTCCGGCCAGCCCCACCGAGCCGGGTCACCATCCCCAGTCCTCTCTGAGCTGCTTCATCTGCAGCCTAAGCACAAGACCTTTTACAGCTCACTAAGAGAAAAAGTCTCTGTGGGAAGCCTGTCACCACTGCTCACTCACACACAGGAGGACAGGAGGAGCCTCCTTCCCAAAAGTGGGATCTGCCACCTGCACGAGCGCAAGCTGCCTGCTCAGCCTGACACCCTGCCAGGGACTCCCCCACGGGGTCTCCCTTAATTAACCTCTTCCCCCTTTTAAATGAAAATGCCCCTGGGAGGGTTAATAGATCAAGTGTTTATCAACCGTTAAAAACTTAGCACAAATTACTTTGTCTTTTTTTTTCTCCTAAAGTGGTCATTCATTTTGGTCTGTATACCAAAGATCGATCAAGGGCCAAGTAGGTGGCCAGGAAGGCAGGTCTGCTACTGTGAGTTGGTTGAAAAGATACTGAGGCTGGAGGGGACACAGGCACCTGGGGCAGGGGCCCTGGAAGGCAGTGAAGGGACCAAAGCAGACCCCTCCAAGAACCCTGGCAGAGGCCCAGACTGAAGGAGGCCGAGGAGCTGTGGAGGGGTGCCAGCCTGGGGCTCTCAGAGGACAGGCCCCAGAGTCACTGGACCCCTAAGGTCACCCGAGGACCTATGAGGTGAAATGGCAGTGCCTGGGCTCCACCCAGACCCTGGAGGGAGTGAGGCCTCCTCCTCCCAGGCCCCGCCCAAGCAGAAGGTGACAAGGCCTCAGCAGGTAGGAAGCCATCTGGACGTCAAGGCCAGCACTGCCCCCTAAGAAGTTTCTATCTCATAAACCACAGAACTTACATGCATGTCTGCTTGAACAGTGGACGTGGACACCAAAGCCGGGGACCGGGCGGGGAGGGAGGGGGAGGGGGATCAGTGGGCGGGGGGAAGAAACATCTGTAACAAAAATTAATTAATTTAATAAAAATAAATTTAAAAATTAAAAAAAAAGAAGTTTCCACCTCAAACCAGGGGTTCCTCGATCCCAGAAACATCTTCCCCTCAAGTCTGAGGCTGTTAAGCCTAAAGCCTATTAAGGCTGAGTCGAAAAGCAGCCCAGGAGCCCCTGGGTGCTGTGGGGGTGACATGGAGACGCCACCCAACTTTGTCCACTCTGTTCTCACGTCTGACCCAGGCCCCACCAGAGACATCAAGGGGAATTAAAGTGGCCTTGTGCCCCGGCCGGTTTGGCTCGGCGGTTAGAGCATTGGTCCGCGGACCAGAGAATCCCAGGTTCAGTTCCCACTAAGGGCACGTACCTCAGTTGCAATTCGTCCCCGGCCACAGTTGGGGTCATGTGGGTGGCAACCAGTCAATGTGCCTCTCTCACATCAATGTTTCTCTCTCTCTCTTCCTCCCTCTCTCCCTCCCGTTCTATCTGAAGATACATGCAAAAATGTCCTCAGGTGAGGATAAAAATAAATAAATAAATAAATAAAGTGGCCTGTGAGGAGGCCCAGGGGAAGGTTCCTGTGCTGCCCTAGCGCTGGGCCTAAGGCCGCAGCAGAGCCCCTCAGCACAGTAGGGACCAGGTCGGAGGGAATCTGAAGACGCGTCCAGCCCGTCCTCATGCAGGCCCTGCCGTGAAGAGTCCGAGTCCCCGTGAGCAGAAAGCAGCTTCAAGGAGGGAAGGCTGCCCCCCAGCCCAGCACATGTCACAGAGGCCGTTATAGGATGGGTTATAGGATGGGTTTCTCTGGACAGGGCTACTGCCCCAAAAGGCTGAACCTCAGTCCAGCCCTGCAGGCAGAAGAAGGGACCAAATGACTTCTCATGAACTTAGGCCTAAGATTCTAGAAGATTCTCTGACACTGCTCCCAGAGACCTGCCCTCTGGGTACAGTTGGAGTCGCAATCCAGTCCAGACAAGGACAGACTAAGCAAGTGCTTCAGGAAGACCTCAGCAAGGTCTTCAGACCCCTCTGCCGTGACCCACCCTTGGAGAGACAGCCATCTGAGTCATGGAGACTTGTGTATCTTCTTGTTTGCCAATAAAATTCAAAATTTAACTCCCCTAGGGTTACCTGTAAAGCCCTTTACAGATATCACCTTAGTAGTCAAGCATCATCTCAGGCAAGAAACGCCACTGGCCGAGGGCACTGTGGATGGGAAGCGCACCTCGCTCCCCTGTGTCTGCAGCACCAGGCTCAGTGCCTGGCTCACATGCGAATGTACACTCAACCAGCAGAAAATCCAACGCGTGATTAGTGCGACTGGGCTCTGGGAAGGGAGCCAAGCTGGGGGGGCAGGGGCATAAGAGAAGGAAAAGTGGATTAATAGAGGAGGTGGCCTGCTGAGCCTCTATTTCACAGCTTTGCCAAGAGCTAACAGTCACCTGTCAAGAACTATCAGGGAAAGTAAAATCTCAGGCTGGCCCCTGGCCAGTGCAGCCCCCACGGGCACTCAGCCAGTGCAGCCTGGAGGACGGTTACTGTGGGAGAGCACACAGGGCTCCAGGGTCAGAGCTCTAGTCACCGAGGGACCACGCCAAGGTCCGGGGCTGAAGGTCCCGTTCCCATTCCACCTCTCTCCTCTCCTATCTTAACACCCTTCTCCAGTCCACTTCTGGGAACAAGCAATATGTGGGCGTGGGGGGAGCCAGCAGCCTGGAGACTTGTGCTCTTTCTGTCAATGAGGACACCCACTGCAGGACCACCAGGGTCCTGCCTCTGGGAAAGGCCACCTGATTTACAGGCTTCATTTCACCCAGACCCACACATGCGTGTCACATGTGAAGATATATTTTGAAATTAATAAACAGGTCAGACATTGAGTCAGTAGCCAGAAGTAGGACAGGAAGTGGAAAAAAGTCTCCCACTTCCCTCCAGGTGTTTAGGGGCTGGGGACAGCCCCTTCCCATTTCCATGACGTCATGGTTGCCGAGAGGGGTAAACAGGGCACCCTTTGAAGCTCTCCCACAAAAGCCACATCCTCTGGAAAGAGGAGTTAAAAATACTGAGCTAGAGATACCATCGCCCCAGGCCACGTGCCGAAGCCAGGCACGCTGAGCCGTTACACCGCCAACCGCAGGTGCGACAGGAAGGCCACCAAGCCGGGAGGGGCTGAGGGGCCCCTTCTGACTGGCAGCCCCGCCCAGCAGCAGGCTGAAAGGTGCCACACACCCCACTGCCGAGAGGCCTCCCTCGCCCCACCTCTGCACCCCCTACTGAACCAAGTCCTAAGATCAAACCTTGATCTCACCTAATTAAACCCTTGCTTAATACAGGACAAGCCCTCAAAGCTTATGTCCAGCTCACCTTCCCCTAGGAGGTGCGGGGGCCACATCTGTCCCTACAAACAGAGCTGGGGCTGGTTCTCCCGAGAAGCCCTCCATTCCAGGCGAGGCTGGAGTGATGGGTGATGGCCCTGACTGCCATATGCCTCTCGGAGACCAGAATACCAGGATTCAGGACACCAGGAGGCAAAGGGCCTAAACGCTGAGATCAGAACCTAGGACCCGCAAAACGCAGGACTTGGACATCCTGCACTGTGGTCGTGTCCTCAGCCATCCACCTGGGGGCAGCAGCGCTCCACCAAAGAGGCCTTCTTTCCCCTCAGTCTGTTCATTCTGGGGATGAAAGCCCCCAAACCTTAGGAAAACCTCTTTTCCAAGGAAAATCAAAGGGGAGGGCCAGTAACTTTTATTCTGCGAGCCCCTGTACTTTGCCAGTCCCTGCATTGGGCTCCCAGCCCCTGTGACCCTGTCACATCCCGTGGAGGAGAGAGGGTCTGGGTCAGGCCCCACCGGCAGCAGGGGGCACTACCTGCCCAGGATCGTCAGGTTTGCTCCTGCAGAGCACGGGATGGGAGCCACCAGAAAGAGACTGGGGAGCCCTGCTGCTTGGGGGAGCAGAGTCAGAATCAAGCAATCTGGGCTGGGTCCAGGACCTACCACTTGCCTTGGC